ACATATTTCAGTGCTGTGAGTGTGCCAGTGTGAGACCACAAACCAGTGACCTCAGCTACTGATTGTCCAAAATAAGCCACCTCTCCCTTCCAAATGGTATCTGACTGGGTTAGCTGCACCAATTTCATGCAGTTCCACAAGGTTTAACCCTGAGGCTGCTTGTGCATCACAACCAGCTCATCACCGATACAGCTCTGCTTGCTCACATACCAGTTAAACAATTCCAGCTTTCCAGGATCCTCACTCCCCTATCAACCTGATAACATGCTGGATAGCTCTGCAAGTTCTGTACCACATCTTGGTTACCCATTGGAAACTTTACCTTCATAGCAAGACTATTAAAAAAAAAAAAAAAAAAATAAAAACAAACCAAACCAAACAGGTCTCTTAAGCACTCATTATATTCTTGTATTATTTTTAATGAGAAGAAAACTCACAAAAAACTAGATTAATATTCTAATTTTAAAAAATAATCAGTTTACTAGTGTTTGCTTACGGGGTTTTTTTTTTCATCTTAACAAAATGGGCAAGCTCTTAGTTTTCTGCAGAAAATGGCTGCTGTTGCTTTTTTACAGTAGCACAGTAGAAAAGCTAAAAATTAAATATTCATACATTGAATATATTTTCAAGCAAGCTTGCTCAAGCTTTAGACGCAGCTTTTTCTTTAAGAGCCTGCTGCAGTTAAAAGAGAATAGAATTTAAACACAACAGTAAGATTACCACAGAACCTCTTCTGATTCCGAGCAGTTTTAAAAGCTTAGTATGTTTTTTAAATGTAAAAATCTCACAGAAGTAGTTACTTGGTACAAATAATTAATGAATTCAGAAGAAAATTATGCAGGAATTCAAAACTTCAGAAGGTGAAAATATTTTCTCCATTCAGATAAAGAAATTGCTTGCAGCAGTTCATTTAAAACCAATTCCTGTCACACTCACATTAGAACGATGTTCTTCAAGAGAAAATAGAATGACACACTGATTCATTGACTAGCACGTTTATCAGGACATGCTGATAGAGAATCATTAATCAAGACTCCCTACTAATAGAAAATCATTAGAACAAAGCACATCAGCAGCAATGCCTCTACAGTTATCAGGTCTTTTTTAACCAATACCTAACCTTGAGGCCAATTTCTCAGTAGCTTTCAAAGCTTCTCTGACATAATTTATTCAAGACTCTTGACACAGTGCAGTCCTTCAGTATCACAACTATAGCTTGAAAATTAAGTACATGAAGGTGGAGGGAAACAAGGGCAAAGGGGAGCTCTTACTTTGAATGTACTTTTGTACTGAGTACTATGAAAGTACTCAGTACTTTCATACTCAGTACTTTTGTACTGAGGCAACATGAGTTTAAATTCACCTAAACCAGATGTTTTCAAGACAAATGTTAGATTATTTCTTTGTTTCTATTACCTCAGTTCAGGATATATCTCAGTAGGATAAGGATTACTTTAATAAATAATATATGCTTCATTTTTATTTTTTCAGTGTACCTGTCATGCCATTTAATCTGTCATCCAAACAAAGTCTATGATGTGTTTGGACAGCCAGACTGGCAGGTGGCAGAGATGGACCCAGGTTCACTGAATCCTCAGTGTGAACTAAGCAAAATCAATGGCAGTCTAGAGAACCCGGAATATTGCCACTATAGGTAGAAAGCAATGGAAATAACAAAAACTGGTTTTAATACTTCTTAATGATACTCTACAGTTAAAATGGATCAGTTACAACACCATCTGCAAACTCTGAGGAGCCTCCAGCACTGAGAAGCTGAAACAAGAATTCAGAAGCAGTAACAGACAAAACACAAGCTTCCATTGTTCACGGACGGTACAGGAGGTTTCAATACATTATTTTTGTCAGATTGTTTTGGGTTGAGAAACTGCGACACAGAGCTAGACTTTTTCCATGTTTTCTTCTCATTGCCTTTTTTTCTTATTCCATTTCTTCAAGTTAGGTATTAGAATTGTAATCTTACTTAGCAGCAGCTGCTATTGTTTCTTTAAGTGTCTGTCTATAGAAAATACAGCTGGTAAATATTAGGAATACCTGCTATGTTTCTGTTGTTTTTTCTTTTTTTTAATTGAGCTTTCTAGAATTATTCAGTCTTCCAAGTAAATGAAGGCAATTCTATATTAAAAATTCCTTTGTTATTCTTATAACTTACCATATGGCCTGAAACAAAAATTGTTTGCAGATGTCTTGACCTATAATGTTTTATACATTTTCTTTACAATTAACATAAACATCTTCCAAATAGCAACTGGCTTCTGTTCTCTATGGCTTCTTTTTCACCCTGTGCTGACTTTGTATATTGAATACCTTAAAAAATATTTTCAAAATTAAAATACCATATGAATTTTCTCAATATCTAGCAGAAAATTAATATTTACATTTTTTATTGTTGTTTGGCTTTGGTTTTTTTTTATTTGGGGTTTGGTTCATTAGAATTTTTTTAAACCTCAGTGCTTTCCAGCAACAAAAAACCCCTACTAAAGTTGGTATCAGTTGGTCGAAAGCAGAATGAAAATCAGAAGGCATTCAACTGCAGGATGATATACAATTTTGTATTTAAAGTTCTTCTTTCTTATAAGAGATTCTATTTCATTTTCCCACAAGTTCTCAAATCCCACTGTGCCCTCTAAAAGCCTCACGTAATAGTAATAGGACACCTGTAATAGGTTTCCCTGGTCTATCTAATAGGGTATAGGATTTGGGAACAAACTAGAAACATTTTTATCATTATTATTTTACAGATTTTAAATATATACTACTGCTTTAATATTGTTTTCTCTCTCATAGGGTTTGAATTTGATGAGAAAAGCTTACTTATCCTCTAGATATTATTCTGCAAGCTACTGTGGTAAGGCTAAAAAATCCTCTAGGTTTCACATCCTGTGTGATGGCATTCAGTTTACTTCCTGATGCCCTCCTTAGCTTTCTTCTGGTTAGAAAGAAGCAGTGGAGTAACTTGCTGGCCATTGGAGAGCCTGTGTGAGCCTTGAGTGGATAGAGACATGAGAGGAGTATGAGGATGCCATTAAACAAGGTACATTCTCTTGGCTTGAAGATTTTGACTGCAAAGAGGAACAGTTCCAACAAGAATGCCAAAGCAATGTTTTTTAAGGTGTCAGGACAAGGTATAATAACATTTCTTAAACAATTGAAGATGTCATCAAAGCTTTTTTTTTTTTGAAGTCTGACCTCAAGGGAAACACTGTGGATTAGAATGGATTTTGTTCTCCTGCTGGTGGACACAGGGAATAAATGCAGTAAAATGGCAATAAAATGTAGTGGAGAAGACATCTACAAAAGGAGACATAATCCTACAGCATTTACACATATGGGATAGACGGTTTTCTCTGTTTAAAGAAGTTGGATCTTCCATGAGACTTGTCACAAAGCCCTGATTTCATGATGAATCAGTACACACTCAAGATGTATAAACAGGCTCAGAAAAGTATGGCACATTGATGATAAGGAAAAAAGAGAAAAGTTCAAGTCTTTGAAGCAAATCTGCTAATTTGGAAAATACAAAGCTTGGTTAGAGAGCAATGCAAAAGTCAATAAATACCCAGGTCAATGCTTTGCAGAACCAACAGGTGCTGGATAACCCATCAAACAATATCAGGTTTGTGCCTTCAAAAGTTGCAGATGGAAACAAGCAAGGTGATGCTCTTTTTGCTGTTTGTCTGGCTCCCTGGTTTCAGAGTTGAATGGTTACTACCTGGGAGGTGGAAAATTTGAAATACAAAGCCAGCTGAAACTGATAACAGAGAAGCAGGCAGAAAATATCCTCCACAGGATGAGAAAATGTGCTGCATGGCTGTCCATTTCTCTCTGTAAACACCCATTTTCACCAAAAATAATAGTAGCCAGTTTTGCTGGTGAACATCTCTATCCACTTATATGGGACATCTAAACACATCCTTCTATTACCAAGTGCACTCTTAGAAACTGCATTGCTTCTGTCTTAGTTCATTACAGCAATTAAGCATGTACTAAGAACAGCCTTGACTCAATGCCTTATGGCATTAGGCAAATTAACATTTGCCTTTTCTATTCTCTTTACTTTTTTCACTACTTCTGCATCCTTCTAAGAACTCTGGAATCTGGAGCAGAAGAGGAAAGATACCTTTCATATCATATCTTTTCTAACCCAAACACTAGACCCAAATTTAGGGTAACAAACGTTTACAGGCAAGTTTCAACAGTGGCTAAGCAACTACTCCAGACAACTCAGTATCATTCATAACCAATCTCTGGCATAAGAACTATATCTAAACCTTTGAAAAGGAGAAGAGTGAGAGAGTGAAGATTTAAACCTCAATTGCTCAACCTGATTTTTGGAGAGAAGACTGGGCTGCAATTTCTGGTGTGTTAAAGAGTAGTCAGTGGAACATTTCTGATACCTAAATTTAGTTTGTCAATGTGTTTAGCCAAATGAACGAGTGCTTTGGATTTCATTATTGTATGTCTAGACATAGAAGCAATAATTCAGTTATAATATGAGGAGCCTTGCTTTCAATATTATTGATTATACAGTACTTAACACTGCTCAGAGATACTATAATCAGATTAATTGTAGGTACAAAACAGAGAAGCAGCACAAAAACCACAACTGACAAATTATTTCTAAATATTTTCTCCAATTATTTCCTTTACCTGTGTTTTATAGTATATTTGTAACACAGTTACAGTTATCTTATTCCTAAATACATCGTGGTACGTGTCTGACCAAAAAGAACATTTGGTTGGAATCTAATTTGAACTAGACACACTAAATGAAGGTGAAGATGCTTTCAAGCTGAAGGGAAAGACAACATTTCAAGTTGAGTATCAGAATTTTTGCACAGCTCTAAATTCATCCAAAAAAAAGAAAAGTTTCTATACAGTTGTTTCTGAACTTAGGTTTAAGTTCTATACAGTTATTTTTGAACTTAGGTTTCAGTTCCTTCTCTGAAGCATTTAATATGAATGTACAGAAGCAAACTCACCACGGGCACGGCAGAGGAGAAGTATATACCATGTTTCAGACGACTGTGTATCATCCAACTGGCAGTCCATTATACCATCGGCTGGTGAAAGACTTTGCCATAACCATAAAGATCTTAAAGAAAAAAAAAAAATAGAGAAGTCAAAAGATAATCACACACAGAAGAATTAAAAACTGAATGTTCCTTATTTAAAACACAGTTTCATTGCTGTTTAAAGCATACTTTTAAAACAACAATAACAAAAGAGCCTGTTCTACATCATTACCATCCAGAAAGTGATGGATACATATTCTCTTACAACCACTGCAATGATATTTGCTCAGATACTTCATTTGCATTTATTTTACAGATTTTTTTACATCCAGCTGGCTTCAGGATTCATATATTTTTTTCAATGCTGTTTAACAATGGCAGTTGCATGCATTGGCATTTTCTCAAAAGAGTATTTTCCAAGTGTTATTTTCCTTCTTGTTTCATTTATGTGGGACTCTACCACATATTTTCTACAAAAACACAAAATCCACATGCCAAAATTATCTACAAAGGTGGATGATGGGGAAGACCACTGCAGAGAGCAGGCAGCTGACAAAGTCAACACCTCTCAAACAAGATACAGTACTCAACCCGGCTTAGCAGCACATGCAGAACAAGGGACAACCACCATCAACAACAACTATGAATTCCTTGTCTCTCTTTCGCTAAACACAAAGGCCAGAGTGCTACAAAGCTTGCCTGAGGGTCTGATCCCAGATTCCATTTTTAAACACTGGTGACGGGCAGAATGATAAGAGGTGGGTTCTTGGCCAAGTCGCTGTATAGCACAGAACCAGAAGCCAATGGAGCTTCACTGAAAAAATTCATATCAGCAATTTTCAGGAACTTTGTTTTCTCTTAATTAACCCTTAGTAGGTCTCCTTGAAAGAACTTTTATACAGAGCCATTTTTTCATGGTTCCTCAAAGTTCCCAGAAAGTGCTACAATTTAAACTGAAACACTGGCTCAAACCAAAAAACTTGACAAATCTGGGGTTCTTGAGTTTTGTGGTTTGTGTTTGTTTGTTGGCAGGCAGGGGTTAGTGCGTTGATTATTTTTTATTGTTGTTGTCTGGTTGGTGGTTTTGCAGATTTTATTTCCTCAAAGCAAAAAGGGATGGGAGGCTTCCATCACTCTAGATGTATCCTATTTCAACAGATCGAATTCAATCAGATTTAAATATTTCCTCTCAAAAGAGGCTTTCAATTTTAAATCTATTTAATGTCAAATCTTAGGTTAAAAGAAAGTTCAGATTAAAGTGAAAATCTGACCCCAGCACAGTGGTTCCTCTCTCATGAAACTTTTTTAAAGCCAGATGTTCCAAAATACACTTTTCATCAGATAAAGAATGAGATTTCATGAGATTTCAGGGATCTCTCTGAAGTGAGGTTTTACATTTTCCATAGAACTGCAAAGAACTTAAAAGCTAATAAATTGATTCTCTTTTTACCTTTTATGAGAACAACTTAGGAAAAATTAATATAATTTTCTGACATTTTTCCACAGACTATTTTTCTTTGCATCAATCACAATTTTCTTTTGACTCCCTCTTCTGCAATTTTATGTCTAAATTCTGTTGATAATTTAAGGACAGTAACATGACCCTTCCAAATATTTACCCCTCCTACTCTGCTCTTCTCCTCCAAAAACCCACTAAAAATGCTGAACGATGGGTTCAATTGAGTGTACATGAATAGAAAACATCATCACCAAAATAGAACAACAAACTCTTATTCATATTTTTTATACAAGGGAATTTAATTTTTAATTTTCCTAACCATGAGAGTATTTTATCATGGTGGAGACCAGCATAAAAGTTAAAACAAATATGCTTGGGAAAAGGCATTTTACTCAGATATAATAGTTTTTGTTGTACGTGTTCTAAATATTTTTCTGTACTCATTTTCTATTTCTCTTTCACAGGATAAAATGATGTATTTTCAAGTCCAGTAAGGCTTTTTTCAAACAATCAACATTTAGCAGATCCTACAACAGGCTACTTATTGCAGCTATAGCTCACATCTCTGCTATCTTTTCAGCACAATGAACAGGAGTGAGGAATTGGTCCAATACAAAGAAAAGATGTGAAAAACTTGTTCTTTTTTTTAAAGGCAGGTCTATTTTCTCCCCTTAGAATACTACTTAACCCAAAAAACTGCTGTAATGGATGAAGTACACAGGGGTAGGCTCAGAGAGAAGATGAAGCGCCTCACCTGCTACTGTTACTACTGAAACACACACCAAACCGCACCCTTGTTTTGAAAAAGCATTTTACTGGTAAAGACAGTATTTATATTAATATATTAGTATTTTAAAGCACTATTTAATATTTACAGTTTTACTACGTCAATGCATTATGCACTACAAGCTTTAAAATGTTAGGCTTTGTAAAGACAAAATGAAATTCATGTCAAATGTGAAAAATATGTTAACAGAATCAATACAGTTATTTGAGGTCTTTTACAGGATATTATCTTTCTCAAAGCCTGCAAGAACCATAGCTATATCATAAGCCCTTTCCATAACTTATTTAGATAAAGCAATCTATTTGTTATTTCATTCATCATTTTCAGCTGTGCACCTATGCCAAGGCACCAGCCCAGCCCTGCCAAGACAGTAAAGTGGGCAATCAGATAATTAGTTTTTCCTTGAACAGACTTAGAATTCTCTGAAGGACTTCCTTCCAGGTGATGAAAGAACTGAAAAACAAAACCAAACTAAATAACCCCAAACAATAACATTAAAACTAGGCAAAAGCCTGTGAAGTTCAGCATTTAAGAAAACTGTGAGGAGGTAATTTCCCACTCTCCTAGTTATTTCCTTTAAAAAATATAAAATTAATGTGAGAAATCAGAGTCTTTTTTACATTAGCATATCTTTCCTTTACCATAAAACAGTGTATTCCACAAAATTTTCAGGAACTTTGCAGATTCTTCTTCACAGTGTGAGAAGCTGTAGAATGTAGAAAGCCATCAATAGGCACAATGAACAGGGTCTGGTAAGGTAACTGCTGAAGTTGCATTATAATTTCTGAAGAACTACACTTTTGTTTAAGTAACTACCCTGTCTTAACTTGGAGGTAGATGTTGTTTACAGTGAATGCACCCTCATGTCAGTGGATTAGCTACATAGAGATGATCAAGCACTGTGACTCAAATACGAGGAAATCAATTTACTGCTGTGAAGTGCAAAGTTATTAAAGCATTTTAACAGAAGCCCCTGACCATCATTCAGTCACATGATTGAGGGGTTTGTCTTGCAGGACTAGATTCCTGAGCTGCACTTAAGGATGCTTTAGTGACCAATGTAAAAAGCTGGAAATGGTGTTTACACATTCTGATGACAGCCTTAATCTGTCAAGAAGATTTCTGCAGAGCCAAAACAATACAAGTTTTGGCTGTCCTGTGGTAGTCTGACTGCCCATAAAATAAAAAGCCATAAAAAGACTTCGATGTTTTCAAATACTTTAAGAACATGAAGGAAAAAAAAAACTTTGTAAGGACTAATGTAGTTGAATTTTTTTAATATGCACAAAACCAAATAAGGTATTATTCCCTACAAAGAGGCTTTTTAAGGAAGCTACTAAATATTAACAAAAGTGACAAAACACCCGAAACACAAACAACTAAAAGTCTGCTTACTGTAGCCTGAGTCTCAATCTGTTCCCAGCACTCAAGTGTCGCAGGTGGACAGTAAGAATTTATTTGTGACTTCTCTGCTAGGCACAAGACAGTTAGTTGAATCACAGTCTCAGAATTATATAAAAAGCAGTAATCTCTGTGCACCAGCATTATATTGGGACCACCTGTCCCTTCAGCCAGCTCCTGCAAGATCAGCAGTGCTCCAGCACAGCTACAGGGACTGACTCGTGCCCACCTCAGCACCAAGGGCTGCCTGCTGCCAGAGCAGAGCCTCTGCAGTCTGTAAAATGCAAAAAGAATGAATCTGAGAAAGAAGGAAAAATTCTCTCCTAGACTGAAGTCTCAGAAACGTGGAAAGAGTTTCAGGCTGTGCACGTCTCACTGTCACTGCCACAAAAGCTTTCCTAAAAACCAGCAATTTCCTGAGTGTCTTATGCAGCTACACAAGCACCCAGACAGAACACAAACTAGCAATTGATTTCATTAATTAGAAAAGTTGCTTTGAAGGAACTGAACATTACTGACAGAAGCAGTTTGCAAGCATTGTTCTCTAATGAAATCTAAACTGTCATTCCAACAAAGGTAAAGCGTTTTTTTCCTAACAAGCAACATGCACTGAAAACTAATTAGAAGCCGTAGGTACATGGCTGTATTTCATACCCTGTGAAAGGCTAATCTCAAATAGCCAACTGCAAATGGCTCAGCTTGTACAGATAAAATGAACAAGTCACTGGAGCACCCTTTATTGTCACCTTACACAAGGCTGTCCCAGCGCTGCTCACCTGAAGGGGCAGAGCAGAACTTGGCCATTCCCACAGCCTGCCTCTGTTGCTCTGCAGGCACCCCACCAGACCATCATGCATTTTGGATGAATTTCCAATCCTTAAAAATGTAACACTGAGGAGAACATTTTTTGTACCAGCACCTCTAATTGTAAGCATAATTCTTGACTCCTGTTCTTCCTTTCTTTCAATCAGTCAAACCCGTGGTTACTACCTGGTATAAAATAACAAAAGGAAAACACAAAAACCCAGCGGTGTTGCCAGCTACACAGTGTGCAAAGCAGGATGGATACACCATGTAAATGCAGACAGGTGCTAAAGAGTTTTCATGGCAAAAACAAGAAAGCTACATGTGGTTTTCAGTCATGGGCTTCATTCAAACTGATTGCTACTTGTACAGTTTCCCTTATTTAAATGAAAACTTCTCATCAGGTTTAGTTCTACTAAAATTTGCATCATCAACATGCTAAATGGCAGTTGATTATTCTAACACACTGAAAAATAGCCAAATAATAATTATTCACAAAAAACCCTGGATGCACTTGTCCCCTTAAAATAATCAAAACTGGATTGTATTAAAATGTCCAAGAATTCTAGCCCCTAAGAACTATTATAACTTGTTTTAATCAAATGTTGTTTTATGTTATGAATATGCAACATTTTAAACTGTAGAATAGCACATTATTGCTTGAAACTCTCAAGTTTGTTTTAAGAGTGAGACCTCATAACCACAACATCTAATGAGTCCTGATAAATGATAATGATAATGAATCCTTTGGTCTTTAAACAAACTGTACTAGCCACTGACCTATTTTCAAAGTTTAACCAATTCAGCTTGTACTTAAAAAAAAACTCTATTGCTCAGAGGGAAAAGAATATGATCTTCCATTAAAATACTAGTTTCCAAAAAGAAAAAATGTAGGAAAAAAACTGAAAAAAACACAGTTAATTTGAAAACACATTTGAAGCACAGTTAATTAAAAATATATATGGCAGCATGCATTAAAAAAAAAAAAAAAATCTGGTTATTAGCACCAGTATCCCACCTCCATCACAGAGAGCAGCCTGGTCCAAGGTTAGAGGTTCTAAGCTGAACACAAAACCACTCAAATGGTGTCAGAGGATGAAGTAAAAATTTAGTCCTGGATTCACTTCCCTGTGTACACAGTTTTAGATTGTACCTGTGTCTTACTGTCATGGTCACAAAGACCTCTCTATAAATTGGCAATTTCCTGAGCGTCCTATGCAGCTATACAAGTATCCAGAAGGAATACAAATTAGCAATTTTCACAAAGAATTGTCTGATATTAACTTTCCAAACAACAGATTTTCACTCAAAGGAACAAAGGACTATTTACCTGTGATATCTGATCAGTCAATTTCACTTGTAGCAGAGCAAGTGAAACTATGAAACATAATTTACATTTCTCTTGCATCTTTCTTTACTTTTTTTCTCATACAGATCCCCCACCCTACTATATTCTCATTCAATGTTTGTAATTAATTGAAGGCTATTTGCCTCAACTCTTCAACACTGTGAGATATATAAAATGATTTATTATTATATTGTAATTTATTAAAATTTTCTAGTGACAAATTGGCAAAGCAAGTATTTGTATCCTCATATTATATTAACCAAATAATATTTTCAGGAACTGGAAAAATTTCCATGCAACCTGTTGTGCTATGTAACACTTAAATGACCAGATTTTCTGTACAACGATTTCTGTACAAAAATTAGCTCATTTTGCCTGTGTGAGATATTAATAAAGTAGAAAAACAAAGTATATAGTCAGAAGTGATGGCTTGAACATATATTCTAGCATTTAGAAATAACAGTTCAATACAATGTAAAAGGAGGAAAAAAAATTACTTCTTAACAGAAATAATTGTTATCCAGGACTGATTGTGGATGAAGTTTGAAAGCAGAATCACCTTACTCCTACAAGGTAGCAATGAGGTTGTGCTTAGCATGTGCCCCCAAATCCAATCCTGTAGGGAACTGGGAGTAGTTAACAATAACCCTCTACACAGACCAACCACATAATCATATGTTAAAAATACCAAACAAAACACAAACAAACAAAAAAACCCCAATCTTTAAATACTCCCTATGATATACTAATTACATTGTAATAAATCTTCTGTAGGAGAAATCAGCTTGCAACAGCTTCATGGCAGCTCCTCAATGCACACTAACACCAGCACCATGGATTTGGACTCAGAAGTGAGGGGATGAGATGGATTTTAACCTCTTCAAAAGTCATTCATCCTCCTCTACAGAAGTATGAAGAAAACTCAAACTGGTGCAGCAAATACCCACTATATACACTTTTTGGGATTAAAAAATCTGGAAACAATCCTGGTTTCTTTGAAGCAAATAGAAAATTTAAGATATGGGGTAAAAACAAGTAATTAAAAACCCCCAAGGATCTCACAGATAGAGGTTCAGACTGGAAACATAGGGGTGCTTCTCAAAGCAGCAGGCAGCACTGGAGAGAAAACAAAATTAAAATTAAAATTAAAATTAAAATTAAAATTAAAATTAAAATTAAAATTAAAATTAAAATCTGCTTGGGAGGCAGTTAAATATTGTTGGTACCTCACTTCACCTACTTTGTTCGTGGATGACTTACTGGACATTTGAAATGTTGATTTACCCTAAAGCTTGCCTGTGATGTTCTAATTCACAGGCCACCTGTTCAGAGTGCATGTTTTGGGAAGAGAGAAGGTAAGAACCTCAAACCATGGAATACAGGAACCAAGAAAATGACTCTGTCTTTTGGGGAATGGAGGCAGCTGCCCACCTGGCAGAATGTTTTCCTTATAGGGACCAGAGACATAATGGAATACCTGAAACAGGGTCATTTTCTCATTTCTAGAACAACTGTACTGGAAATGGCATCCTGATAGTAGGAGTAAAATCACAAAAGATGGAAAGAAAGTGAGTTATAAAGTTTCATTACTTGTTTTTTTTAAAAATACTATATTCCAAAATCCCTAAGAACCAAGTAAATTTTTTATAATTATAAGACATACAATATTCAAAAGAATTTGAGGTAGCAGAGAATATTCATCAGTTCACAATATTCTTTAAATTGCTGAGCAAATTAATTCAGAAGATGTCTTCTATTACTAAGGCATAAGTACATATTGTACAAATTCCAGATGACCAAATTATATTAGTGATTTTTATATGGGTGATAAAACACAATGTTTAAAAACCTATTTTTATTAGTGTTTTAGCAAAATTAATATTTTAAATTAACCCCAAGCATAGAGAGAGAGAGAGAGAGAATAAGCAAGCTTTTCCCTCAAAATTCTAGTGCTTTCCTAAACAAGATGTTGTTAGCCAAATCTTAATGTTCTGTTTCTGCATTACTATTGCTCTGTTACATTGTCTAGGAAGGTCGTCTTTCAGGAAATAAGAAGGGACAGAGAATAGTTTTTCTGCTAATATGATCTAAACAAATAAGATAAAGAATTCAGATACTACAAGGACGTACTGTTCCCTGCTATGTGGTAGCTTTATTAGTAATAATTATGAGGCTAAGTTGCACATAAAAATCATTCAAGAGAGATTAAAGGCTTATGCTAAACTTATAAAAGCTATGACCTAAACGCTAACCTTCAGATATTAAAAAAAATTTCCAAAAGCCAAAGAAGAACATGCTATATATGGAAAGATAATCATAAACTTTAGGGAGATGTCTGAAACAGGCAACGGCTGAAGAGAGAGAGCATGAAACTGCAACACTTGCTATCACTTAAAAGCTAACTCATCAGAGAGGAGAATGATTTCAAGGCTGGAAGAGGCTTCAGACAGGCTATTGGGTTTTTCTCTACATTCTATTTCAAATTCCATGAAAAAAACAACAAAACAATCAAAAACAAACAAAGAAAAACCCAGACTAATTCAACAGAACATCATCAAAGAAAAATGCTTCCATTAAAGCACAATGTTCTTCCTTGGTCACAGTTTATCCCTTATTATCCATAATCATTCATACTACCCACAGAACCATACAAGCTTAAAACTGCTTTATTCAGAATAACAGGATAATTGTGTACTTAACAAACCCTACAAGAGAACAAAACTGTGATCCTGAGAGAGCACAAAACACTTTTGCAAATGGCATCAAAAGGGGAAGGGGGGGAATAAAAAGCAACTATGACTGACAGAATACTAGAAACTGTATAATTAATTCCATTTAATAATTACAATCTGTTTATTGTCTCTCTTTCTTTTATTTTTTTAAATCAGATTACATGTAAAAAGAGATTTGAAGTTCATTAAGACATGTTTCAGAGCATGTGGTATTTTGGAACTACAACTTTAAGAAAACTTCAAAATTGTATTTTTTTGTTTGGTTTAATTTTTGGGGGGGTTTTTTGTTTCTTTTGTTTTGTTTTTCCTTAAGAGATATCCTTTATGTGTGGAAGATGATTAACCATATTGTTTTATCAATTAAAAAGAAAATTTTAGAATAATAAAGCATTCTGAAAAGCTAGCCTAAGTTTTGAACACACTCCAAAACATTGCTGTGTTTGTTTCCAAAAGAAAAGTTACAGGAGTGGATGGGGGGGGATTTTTTTCTTTTTATTTAGATTAGCGTTTGGTTAGTTTTGTCTTTAAGAAAGAGTCGAGTTCTTGTTAAAAAAAATCTGAATAACTAAAATTGTTTTAAATTTTTCATTTGCATCAGTATTTCCCTACTGCTGTCATTTTCAATAAAAAGATGATGCTATTTCTAGACCTTCTTCACAGAAAGCCTGTTAAACTTGGTGTCATTTTTAAATAAAATCAATACTATCTACACCTGTATCTGCAACAATACATGATAATTCTGACAGGGTGAGATCTCTTTTCTCTCTGAGTAGAATTAACCATCAATTCCTCAGACACTCTGGTGACAGGGAACTGTGTTTATATTTTAGATAGTGACCATGATAAGCCAAACATTAATGACCTTCTCTTTCCAGGCAAAACAAACCATTTTTGTAACGGAGTTTGTTTCTCTCAATTACATTAATTGTAAATGTATGATTTTAATCTCATCTTGAGGAATTTGTGCTGAAGTTCACTTTGTACATCCAGCCAAACTAAAGATTTTCATGCCCTGTGAACTGAAAACATTTGATTCTCACAAAAATGCTAACATTTTTCTTTATAAATCAGAATGTAAGCTACCAAAGTGAGACAGCTGAAGATTTCCTAGTACATCCATAAATTGTCAATATTATAGTTGTTTCTTCCCAAGTAAAACTTACGCTTGAGTGCCTAGTTTGTTTTTATTTGCTTTCATCTTGTTTTTATTTGTTTTCATTTGTTAATTTTTCTTTGCTTAGCTCTTTGTCATGCTTGAAACAGCTTTACTGGTTTTTCAAACACATTTATTTCAGAAGCTTGTAGGAACATAGGAGAATTGCACTGCCTCTGAAAGGAGTCCAATGAGCTCAGATTGTCCCTTCCAACAGAAAAAATAAAAGCAAAATGCCCAGGCAGTAATACAAGTTATCCACAAGAATAATCCATCTACTCCCCAGCTTCCAGAAACTTGACAGAATCACTGAGCCACATATGGTGCTGTGTATGGTACTCTGTGCCTGGTATTATCTCCATCTCTAAAATCCCTCTGCAATTTTTTCAGCTTCCCTCACTATCCCAAGTAAGTTTACTCCATCAGCAAAACTTGCCATTCAGCTGGTCTCCAATTAAATATATGTTCACCTGAATGAGCATTTTTAATTTCAAGTTAATTGATATTTGTAATATCAGATACAATAAAATCATGATAATACAAGATGTAGAAACATCCTCATTACAAGGGAATTTGTAATTTGTTTTCTTAGTTCTCAGAAAAACCACACCAAAAATGAAAGGCATATATGAGCCTAGTATCTAACTTGTGAGGTTTCTACAAGTTTCAGGATGAATAGGTAGAGGAAACAGACAGCAGTA